GCTTGTACACTGCGCGGAATGGCGCGGACATTAGCCGAGTGTAAAAGCCATGAAGCTATAAAGATAAAAGCGTCTTTATGATTATGCATGCCATTGACAATGACATGATACATGCGAAGTATAGTTCCAAAATACTGAACTGTCCTATGCATGACATTGACAGTGGGGCGCCACCGTCAATACCGGATCGCTGGTTTCGATTTTTGCCATGTTGGAAACCATATAGTTGAACGATGGTAGCGCCCCCCTGTCATTGAGTTTGGTGGGACAGTTCAGCGTGGGTCATCTATAATTGCGATGTGAATTGGTATTTCCCCGCGTTCTAAAGGCTGACCCGTATAAGGTTGCCAGATCCAAAAACACAAAATTTGGACTCGGTGCTTAATCAAAATCAAAAATATTTTATTCAATTTAGACCACCGTGCACTGGTGGCATTGGTGGTGGTAATTTGGCCGAACATTTAACCACAGTATAATATGTATTTTTAACCCTAAACGCCGGACATACCTTTTTTTAATACCTAACACACCATGTCACAGGGTACAATATTAGTCATCATCTTCGAATCAGCATGACTTTCGACTGGCGCGGCAGCCACATGAAAAGCCTAACAAAAGCTGCCGGACACCTGAGCCCCGATTACGGTAACTTTTAACGTCTACAATCCAGACACGCTACATCGATTCTGCGATACGATTGGTCAAAACAGCTGACGTACGCTGTTGAACGACCAATCGTATCGCAGAATCGAGAAGCGTGTCTGGATTGGAAACGTTAAAAGTTACCGTAATCGGGTCTCAGGACCCCGATTGCGCTAATTTGTAATGACTCCAATTCATTCTCTTTCATCTCTAGTCCACACTCCAGTCACGCTCCATTTTCATTACAGCTGATGTGAAATTCTGTATTGCGGTAAAGTTCACGCGCAAACAAAGACGAAATAAGACCTTATTTTTTCACTAAAACACAGCAAATGTTCACGAAGTGTTTGACTTGCGTTTGAGTAAAAAGTAGCATTTTGTCAGCTTTTACACAAAGACGCAGTTGCATTTCGATTACGTTACAACTTCGTTTCAATAGCAGTCAAAGCAGAGAGCAGAAATAGTCAAAGCGACAACACCGCGATACGAATTTGTGCAAAAAGCTGAATTTCGTTCGTCGTCCAGTCGCATTGCAGTTTCAAATATTTAGCGCAATCGCGGCGCTGACTGTAATTAAATAGATTTATTTTGCAGGTTAGACATAACGTTAAAAAACACCCAGACCAATACAACCGCCAGCTAGCACAGATCTAATATCAAAGAATACTCATACTCCAATATACTGAACTGTCCTCTCCGTGACATTGACAGCGGGGCGCCACCGTCAATACCGGATCCTCTGATCCATATCTGTGACCGGAATCGGATCGCTGGTTCGGTCGCGATGACCTAAACTGAACTGCCCCATCGCCCCAATCAAAGTCATTGACAAGGGGGCGCCACCATCGTTCAACTATATAGTTTCCAACGTGGCAAAAATCGATTCAGTATCAGTATTGATTGACCAATGTCACGGGTAGGAGGACGCGGACGGTTCAGTGTAGGTCATCTTTATGTAGGTACTTCGGTAATCGGTACAGTGGGTCTAGACAAAGTGCAAATTATAATCGCAAACCAGTCGAAAAGTGGTCGAAAAGCTCCTTTTTTGTATGGAGTTTTGACGGATTCGTTTTCGATTCGATCAAAAAGTGCGTTTTGTCTAGGGGGCAGGGATTCGATTGCGAAGCGATCATAAAGTGCCACTTGTCTATGGCCCCAGGAATATCCTGGGAATTACCGGATTGTCGTTGTCTGTAATCTGAAAATAATGATGACGTTGACATACACCACAGACATACACAACACAGACATACACAACACAGACATACACAACACAGACATACAGTGATTAGTATGTATGTCTGTTACTGTAGTACTACTGAACCGATGATATTATATTGGTATAAGTAGATAAAGTTTTTGTCGCCCAGTTGATATAAAGGATAATTTTACCCTGAAAGTCAGCTCTTAAAGGATTTGCCACACAGAATGCAGTTTGCGGTAAAAGGAAACGCAAACACAGGCGGTACAAAGTTCGCCGGGTCAACTAATAGTAACTATTTGAAAGAGGAACACGTCATGCGCCCTATTATACAGGGTGTCCCGTAATGTAACGTCAAGCCGGAACTGGGTGTTGAGGCAAGTTATGCTGGTTATCAGAAAAATATAAAAAAAAATCTATGTGGCATATTTTCAAAATAATGGGCATTTAAAAAAAATCAAAAATTTCTACTCCAGGTGACGGTCTTTTTGCTCGTGTTGCCACAAATATTCACATTTTCTAAATTTTTTTTTTGTTATGTAACCCTGAATAATGCTTCTCTAAATTGTTATCAAAATTACAAAACCAGCTGCTCCAGCTTGGATGAAAAAAATACATTATTCCCAAAAAAATTTTCAAAATAAAAATTTTGCCTAGTTTAAACTGACTGTACTGAAAAAAAATTGTACTACGCGAGTGTGGCAAGTGACGTCATAATTTCGTCATCGCTGCTGCGGCGTGTATACTGCAGATTTCATAGAGTTTTGCAGTTTGGAATAATTGTACCCTTAGACTCCGCCTTTATCCGAAACTATCCGTAACTTTTGAATCAGTTTCGGTTACGGTTATGGATATTTTTTTATTTCGGATATCCGATAGTTTCGGTTACGGTTACGGATATCCATAACATCCCTGCTTGGTAAGATGGCCCTCTCCGTCCCGCTCATACCTTTCAAAATGGCTTCTCCACCTCATTTAAGCCAGAAACTTGAATTTTGGGCACATTAGAATAATAATTTTAACCAAGGTAGATAAAGTTAAAAACGTTAAAAACGGGATTATTTCCAAAAAAACAAAAATTGTCGACAATTACAGCAAGAATTTACCAAGTGTTATACCATTTTGGAATCCTTACTAAATGCGCCAAATTATGACGTCACATGCCACACTTGCGTAGTACATTTTTTTTCAGTACAGTCAGTTTAAACTAGACAAAAATTTTATTTGGGAATAATGTATTTTTTTTATCCAAGCTGGAGCAGCTGGTTTTGTAATTTTGATAACAATTTAGAGAAGCANCATTAAATCTAAAAACTTATGATGTTTATTAGCACTAAGACTCTTTGTCAACAAATCAGCTGGCATGTTGGATGTTGAAACATAATCAAGTTTGACTTGACTATCATGCACACATTGCCTTACAAAATGATGTCTCACTTCTATATGTTTTGTGCGCCTATGAAACAAAGGATTAACAGCCAACTTAAGTGAACTCTGACTATCACTATACAAACATATAGGTACATCACACATTGTTCCAAACATTTCACATAAAAGACTTTTCAAATACAGAGCCTCTTTACAAGACTCGGAGAGCGCCATATACTCGGCTTCTGTACTCGAAAGCGCGACAGTTCTCTGCTTTCTTGATTCATATGATACAACACATCCAGACATAATGAAACAGTACCCAGTATATGACCTTCTGTCTAAAGTGCATGATGCCCAATCAGCATCTACAAATCCATGCAATAATGAATTATTTTTCTTGTACACCAAACCATAACTTTTAGTTTTCTGTAAATACTTCAACAATCTCTTTAAATGTTTCCAATGAGTTTCATTAAAACAACTGTTNCAAATTAAAATCACTAGCTACCAAAAAAGTATGTCAATTTGACGTTATGGAAGATTGCATTTGTTTTTTATCTAAAATTGCACAAAATTGCATTTGTTGAAATCGTTGTTTTAAAAGTGTCATAACATCCACGGTTCACATAAAATTAATGTAAATTAATTACAATTTTATTATTTGCACAATTTAATAATTTGTAAACAACTTGCATATTTTACTATGAGTTGTAATTTTTTTCTTTGCACAGCTAATCAAAAATGGTAGATAACATTATTATTAGGTACTTGAACTGTGATAAAAATCTGTTTAATAAACTTATCAAAACTTTTGAATACACGTAATGATGATCAGTTTTATCGGCTTACCCAGATATCAACTAATTAGAGCAACAATTGGCTAGTCAGGTAAATTGATCGATTGGCAATTATTATTGGAAATGTAAAGTAGGAAAGGATATAGTATCCACTATCACAGGAAAGGTTCGAAGACCTTTTCCATTTTTCCAATAGTTGCTTGTAAAGTGCTAGGAATGGCACTAACGGAACTATTCCCACCTCTCGTTCCCACCGCTGCAACTCCTGTGTAGCCAGGATCTACAGCTTGACCGCCAATAAAAAACGAGTAGGTATCACTAGTGTTTGTAGATGTTGTCTCTATGCTTGCAGGAAGTGGGTACCTTCTATAATACTTTGTACAACCAGTTAGTTATCAACTTATCATCAACGCAGCACAACTCCAAAAACCCGCTGTCCCCTACGACATGAGGAGTTCCACCGCACCACACCAGTAAGTATCACAGTCTGTAGGTGGTACCTCTCCAATTAAGGCTACTAGGAGTAGTAGCACTAGTGTTTATAGCATCTCTATACTTTCATGAATAAATTTGTAAAACCAGTTAGTTACCATCATCGCAGCACAGCCCCAAACACCCGCTGCCCCCTCGACATGAGGAGTTCCACCGCTCCCACGGCAGCCAGGAGTAGCAGCAGAACAACTATATTAGGTAGATTACGTCATTTACAGCATCCAAGGCCACTAAGAGTACCAGCAGAGAATCTATCGCCAGGAAAATCCTACAGTAAGTATAATACTTCCCTATCCTGTTATCATCATCGCAGCATATCTCATATTCCTCCGCAACCCTAGAGAAGAGGCAGAGCGACTACAATTATGATAGTCCTACAGTGAGTAGAATAGACTATTTTATATCCAGTTACCATCATCGCAGCACAGCCCCGAACACCCGCTGTCCCCTGGACATGAGGAGTCCACTGCACCACACCAGTACCACAGTATCGCTCCAAGGCTGCTAGAAGTAACACTGAAGTGTTTATAGCATCTCTGTGCTTGTAGGAAGTACCTATAATAAATTTGTAAAACCAGTTAGTTACCATCATCGCAGCACAGCTCCAAAGACCCGCTGTCCCCTCGACATGAGGAGTTCCACCGCTCCCACGGCAGCCAGGAGTAGCAGCAGCGCGACTATGGCAAGGATGGCGCGGCAGCGACGTCGTCTCTTTTCGCCCCGGGCCAGTCGTCTTGATAAGGCTTCGCCGCGGGCTCCGTCCAGGGTGAAGAGTGCACTTGCTGCCTGGAAAATGAGAATGTGCTGTTGAGAATATGGAAAATGGAATACTATAGGCATCTTCAACACTAAAAAAGACAATCCTTCGCTTGCATGTTTATGAGATTAACTTTGAAGCAACGATTAATTTGATTAAAACTTCATCATATTTGGATAGATATGACGTTGGTTAATAGATTATGATATTTTGAACTTTATTTGAACTATACTATCTATCTTTTGACATTGCATCAAGTTTATCACATTGCCACAACAATTTTATAGTGCCAAATTACAATAAATATACGAGTACATACCTACCTATTCCCTAAATGCTACTACTTTCATTAAAAAACGCTTACGAAATAAATTTAATTAAGAATTTAAGGAAGAAATAACGTGGTGGACTCTACGCAAGCCTAGATAAGTCCTTTCCCATTTCCAAACTATAGGATGATTTCATGATAGTCAAGATTAGTAATCTTCACAAGCGAAGCTCCAAACAGAAGCTAGAGTTTTATCGTGTCAAGTTCATCTGCGTGATATTATGGATATTATGAAACATTCATAATCATCATCATCCACATCGCGACATCATAGCGTTCATGACACACATCAGTCAAGTTGTTTGGGCACTCATTAGTAATAATTAAACCATCTTAAGATGGATGAAATATCTATTAGTTACCGTAAATTTTGCTGGATGTTGAAAGTGAACGACAGGTGTTCCTCGAGTGCTTGAGGAAAGTTTATAGTGGAGCAATAAATATCGTCGCAGTATCTTTAGAAATCACAGCTGCTGGGGAAATGCATGCGAGGCTTTTTAAAGGCCGATTCACACATACCAGTGAAGTCACAGTTCAGGCTCAGTACCGATACAATATTCTTTCATCATAGAAGCTGTTTTCTATGAACGCATCCCCACTTGTCAGTGTCAGTGACGACACAGTGCTCTCAGTGTCAGTGCTGACACCGGCAATCACGGACGTACCTATTCGTTGACGACGATATTTTTTGTCGGATCACGGACGCCGCCGCGGCATCAAAAGCAAAATAACTTACTTCACAGTTTCTGAACAAGAATATTGAAACAGCTCTCTGACATTTTAAAATATTCAAAATATTTCACTGACGCAACACTGTAGCACTGATACTGAACTGAGCGGACACTGTGACGGAACTGTGGCTTCACTGATATGTGTGAATCGAGCTTAAGGCTTCGCTACAAGTATTAGTATCCACAAAACTTCTTGAAATTAGCTTATCCTATTCTAATTAACTACTTCATATGGTCTGTAAATTGGTATAGTGCATAGCATGTAACCGCGTAAAGTAGGTACGAGTATTATCTACGAAAATAAATTAAATTATTGGAGCGATTCAAATAAGTCTTATCACTCGTAGCGTAACGCAGGTCATTAGACGACATCATATAACAAAGATTCAAAGGCCCATTCAAACTTAGACTTGCCAAAACCACAATGAAGTGGCATTATTACGTAAAAACGCATTATATCCAACCGCGGAGTACTTAATGAAAACAATACGAAATCGGTCAAGTACGAGAACTACAATGAGATTATACTTAATGGCGTTTAGGTGGAGATTTACGCGGCACGATTATAGTAAATAATGTGGAAACCATCTTTTAAATAATCAGCAACCTTGTGGTAGCCAAGTAATTTTGTTTCATTCATACAATCTTATTTATTTTNAAATTACGTTTAAAAGTATGCGTTTTTGTGCGTAGCCCTCGAGCATTCTGATAATATACACTAAGGTTTGCCATCTCTAAAGCTAAAAGCATAAAAGCCATATACAAACAAAATAAATATAAATTCCGAATTATCCACAATATAATCACAGTTACGAATTACATAATTGTAACTGACCCACTCAAATGCATAGCAAATAAAGCAAATCGCTAAAAATAACTGCCGATGTAAATTGTAATAATTTAAAAATAAGGTACAAATGCAAAACATCGTAAGCAAAGCAAAAGACGCTACGCAGTCATAGTTGCGACGTTCCGTAGGCAAATATCGCCCATAAGCAGTGCGCGCGCACTCAATAATGACCCGAAAGTCGCCGCNTACGCCGAGGTCCCGAACTTGGGTGAGATTCTTAAGCCCTGTCCCTTTTAATGTGTACAAGTAGTGCGTCACATTACATTTACGACTAAAGCATATACTATGACATTTAGAAATATTTAGATCTAGTTTATTTAGCTTGCAATATTCCTCAAATCTTTGGAGATCATCCTGCAGTTTCTGGCAGTCATTTGTGTTTTGTATTTGTTTATATATTTTCATATCGTCTGCATATAATAAGAAACTTGAATGTAAAAAACAGCAAGATATATCATTTATGAAAATATTAAACAGTAGAGGGCCAAGCAGTGAACCCTGGGGCACACCAGAAGGCACAGTACACCATTTTGAACAGTAACCATTCACTGCTACGGCCTGTGTACGATTTTCTATGTAAGAAGAGAACCACCTAAACAGATTTCCATGAATTCCTGCTGACAGTAGTTTCTGTAGAAGCAATGAATGGTCTATTCGATCAAAGGCTTTGCAATAATCAGTGAATATAGCGTGAACTTCCCCCCCTGCATCCATGCCTGAAGTTACAAATTCGGTAAATAATATTTGGGCTATCTTAATCAGATCCTATATAGGTTAGGTTAGGTGTTCCCAGGTGGAACATATAATATACATATATATTTACGTGATTCTTTATTTCAAATAAATTATTTGATTCGACATTGCAGTTTTGAAATTATGATTCCGTCCTTCGAAGGCATGTAAAGCCAAGAGGGTTTTTTGAACCAAGTCACGCCTATCATCATAAAAGCCGACTCTGGCTGTAATCAAGGTTACCTACAACTGCCTCTACAAATATTACATTAATAATCATTTATTAAATATTGGCATAGTAACTGATATAGGTCGCCCATGTTATTCCGATTAAATACTTAAGAATCATAAAATCGTAGCAAGAGGCAAAATTATCTTATCTATAAAGTAGGCTTGATTGACCGATTTCGCTATAGATAAATCAGACCCGCCTACATAAATAGCGACAAAACAGCTATGCAAAATACGTTGGAATTTATCAGAGATTTATCAATTACGTACAGCATTTAAAATCGTTTTTACCTATCAACGCACTGTTGTTTCTTTACATAAAGTTGTACATTTAGGTATGCTACGTTGAGCGTAGGTAAATATTTATAAATAAAAAACAATCGAACAAATGTTGCATTAATTATCGGGTAGAAGAGAGTACACGGTACACGATACCTATACTTACTGCTACATATTACTAGTATTATAATAACTGTGTGTGAAGGAGGGAGGGTTCCGTACAAACATGTGAACGTAAATAGTTCATCGCGGGAATCGAGTCTGATGATCCTAAAGTACCAACTCTAGTGGAGGAGTTCTTTCTATTCTATTCAACTCTAGTGGACGTAAATATGTACGTTCGTTCGTCTTGCAAATCGTCAAAATTCGAAGATACCTAGATGGACAGTAAGTACTACCTAGACGCGTTCAGCGCAGGATCGGTCTTTGTAGAAATAATGGACATGGCGCACAATTTTTGTTGAAGATGCCAAAAAAAACTACAAAAAATTAGAATGAATACTGTATTTTTACTTTTTTGATATCTTTAAAAATGACTGAAATATTCAAGCTCAAAGTGCGCTCTTCCGCTAGGAGCGATTTTCCGCGCGGATTTTGAAAATGTGACGTAGTAACATGAAAAGCTGCATGTAAGATATTATCTGTGTACAATGGTTAGAATGGTTAGTAGGGGAGCCGAAGCGGGGATTTCGGGACTTACTAAAGAGTGGCAGACTAACATACAAGNGGGATGAAAATACTAGACAGGCTATCATAAACCTGCGTATATACGATACGCTCAAAGACTTTGGCGAACAGGCACAATTTCGATATAGGCCTATAATTGTTTACCAGGCACTTGTTACCGCTTTTATGTATTGGAGTTATAAATGCAGACTTCCATAGAACAGGGACGATACCTTCCGTTACAGAACGCTTAAAAAGTATTGCGAGCGGCCTCGCAAGACCTTTCGAACAGTTCACAATAAATGTTGGCTCTATAAGATCCGGCCCTGCACCCTTGGTAAGGTCGAGAGATTTCAGTAAAGTATTTAAACTATCGGCGTTAATTTCTATATCACCAATGGAATGGGTATGATTTGAAGTATTTACGTTAGAATGTTTTGGTGCAATATTGCTAGAGGGTGGAAGGAAGGTGGATTTAAAGTAAGAAGCGAAAAGCTCACAAATCTCCTCTCCAGAGTCACTTGATTGACCCTCATATTCCAAATTAGCCGGAAGTGAATTAGCGCCCTGCTTATTTGATTTGATGAAGGACCAAAACATTTTAGGGTTTTCAATAATGGACTCTTCTGAGGTCTTCAAATACGCTATGTAACAATCTTCCTCTAGTGCTTTGGCTCTCTTACGTAGTAAGGAGAATGTATCGTAGTCCGAAATGTTTCCATATGTGCGATATTTTCTATGATATTTATATTTCTCTTTGACTGCTTGAATGCTGTTAACATTGTTGTTATGGCGATAGACTTAGGTAAGATGGTGGTAGCTAGCCAGGCGGACTTAGAACAAGCCCTACCACCAACCAAACCGAACAGAAAAATCTGCCCCCACTTGGAATCGAACCCGGGACCTCTGCGTCTGAAGCAGGTGGTCTTACCACTAGACCACAGACAGAGGCGGTCCGGTCGGTTGTTACCCGACTGCGCCAGAAGGAGAGTTATGTTTAATAAAGAAGTGAATGATTTTTGAGACCTTGAATTATAATCACCCCTTTGGAATTGTAGGACACAGGTTTTTTAACATTTTTGTTTTTATTTCACTTTTAAAGCCTGTGACTTTTGAAACCCTTTAGTTATTTCACAAAAGAATGACTTTTTCATCAGAACACACTTCACTTTTATTGAACGATTACAGAATGCTTCCACGGTTTCCGGATCA